TCAAACCTACCCCGATTTTTAGAAAAAACGTGATGTAACCCCTTGCCATTTTGACGATTTTCGTCAAAATTTAGATTTTCATTTTTTTGATGCCAATCGATAGTACTGATCCTTACGAGTGCAAAATGGTATAAAATTCCCAAATCGGACGTTATTCCAAAAAAACATCAAAAAAGGTTGACTTTACTAACGAATCGGTTTTTGGTCAACCACTTTTTTTAGTCCATCGATTTTTAAAATTTTTGAATGCAGATTGATAGTAGGGATCCCTACGAATTCAAAAAGGTATAACATTTCAAAATCAGACAATATTTACCCGAGATATACAAAAAAATCATCAACAAAGTTTTGATTTTCGAACCTACCCCGATTTTTCGAAAAAACGTGATGTAACCCCTTGCCATTTTGACGATTTTCGTCAAAATTTAGATTTTCATTTTTTTGATGCCAATTGATAGTACTGATCCTTACGAGTCCAAAATGGTATAAAATTCCCAGATCGGACGTTATTTGTCCGAGATATTCCAAAAAAACATCAAAAAAGTTTGACTTTACTTACGAATCGGTTTTTTATCAACAACTTTTTTTAACCCATCGATTTTTAAATTCCTTGAATGCCAATTGATAGTTGGGATCCATACGAATTCAAAAAGGTATAACATTTCAAAATCAGACAATATTTACCCGAGATATACAAAAAATATCATCAAAAAAGTTTTGATTTTCGAACCTACCCCGATTTTTAGAAAAAACGTGATGTAACCCCTTGCCATTTTGACGATTTTCGTCAATATTTAGATTTTCATTTTTTTGATGCCAATCGATAGTACTGATCCTAACGAGTGCAAAATGGTATAAAATTCCCAAATCGAACGTTATTTGTCCGAGATATTCCAAAAAAACATCAAAAAAGGTTGACTTTACTTACGAATCGGTTTTTTGTCAACAACTTTTTTTAATACATCGATTTTTAATTTCTTTGAATGCCAGTTGATAGTTGGGATCCATACGAATTCAAAAAGGTATAACATTTGAAAATCAGACAATATTTACCCGAGATATACAAAAAATATCATCAAAAAAGTTTTGATTTTCGAACCTACCCCGATTTTTAGAAAAAACGTGATGTAACCCCTTGCCATTTTGACGATTTTCGTCAAAATTTAGATATTCATTTTTTTGATGCCAATTGATAGTACTGATCCTTACGAGTGCAAAATGGTATAAAATTCCCAAATCGAACGTTATTTGTCCGAGATATTCCAAAAAAACATCAAAAAAGGTTGACTTTACTAACGAATCGGTTTTTGGTCAACCACTTTTTTTAGTCCATCGATTTTTAAAATGTTTGAATGCAGATTGATAGTAGGGATCCCTACGAATTCAAAAAGGTATAACATTTCAAAATCAGACAATATTTACCCGAGATATACAAAAAATATCATCAAAAAAGTTTTGATTTTCGAACCTACCCCGATTTTTCGAAAAAACGTGATGTAACCCCTTGCCATTTTGACGATTTTCGTCAAAATTTAGATTTTCATTTTTTTGATGCCAATCGATAGTACTGATCCTAACGAGTGCAAAATGGTATAAAATTCCCAAATCGGACGTTATTTGTCCGAGATATTCCAAAAAAACATCAAAAAAGGTTGACTTTACTTACGAATCGGTTTTTTGTCAACAACTTTTTTTAATACATCGATTTTTAATTTCTTTGAATGCCAGTTGATAGTTGGGATCCATACGAATTCAAAAAGGTATAACATTTGAAAATCAGACAATATTTACCCGAGATATACAAAAAATATCATCAAAAAAGTTTTGATTTTCGAACCTACCCCGATTTTTAGAAAAAACGTGATGTAACCCCTTGCCATTTTGACGATTTTCGTCAAAATTTAGATATTCATTTTTTTGATGCCAATCGATAGTACTGATCCTAACGAGTGCAAAATTTTATAAAATTCCCAAATCGGACGTTATTTGTCCGAGATATTCCAAAAAAACATCAAAAAAGGTTGACTTTACTTACGAATCGGTTTTTTGTCAACAACTTTTTTTAATACATCGATTTTTAATTTCTTTGAATGCCAATTGATAGTACGGATCCATACAAATTCAAAAAGGTATAACATTTCAATATCTGACGATATTTACCCGAGATATACAAAAAAATCATCAAAAAAGTTTTGATTTTCGAACCTACCCCGATTTTTCGAAAAAACGTGATGTAACCCCTTGCCATTTTGACGATTTTCGTCAAAATTTAGATATTCATTTTTTTGATGCCAATTGATAGTACTGATCCTTACGAGTCCAAAATGGTATAAAATTCCCAAATCGGACGTTATTTGTCCGAGATATTCCAAAAAAACATCAAAAAAGGTTGACTTTACTTACGAATCGGTTTTTTGTCAACATCTTTTTTTAATCCATCGATTTTTAATTTCTTTGAGAGCCAATTGATAGTACGGATCCATACAAATTCAAAAAGGTATAACATTTCAAAATCAGACAATATTTACCCGAGATATACAAAAAATATCATCAAAAAAGTATTGATTTTCGAACCTACCCCGATTTTTCGAAAAAACGTGATGTAACCCCTTGCCATTTTGACGATTTTCGTCAAAATTTAAATATTCATTTTTTTGATGCCAATCGATAGTACTGATCCTAACGAGTGCAAAATTTTATAAAATTCCCAAATCGGACGTTATTTGTCCGAGATATTCCAAAAAAACATCAAAAAAGGTTGACTTTACTTACGAATCGGTTTTTTGTCAACAACTTTTTTTAATACATCGATTTTTAATTTCTTTGAATGCCAATTGATAGTTGGGATCCATACGAATTCAAAAAGGTATAACATTTCAAAATCAGACAGTATTTACCCGAGATATACAAAAAATATCATCAAAAAAGTTTTGATTTTCGAACCTACCCCGATTTTTCGAAAAAACGTGATGTAACCCCTTGCCATTTTGACGATTTTCGTCAAAATTTAGATTTTCATTTTTTTGATGCCAATCGATAGTACTGATCCTAACGAGTGCAAAATGGTATAAAATTCCCAAATCGGACGTTATTTGTCCGAGATATTCCAAAAAAACATCAAAAAAGGTTGACTTTACTTACGAATCGGTTTTTTGTCAACAACTTTTTTTAGTCCATCGATTTTTAAAATGTTTGAATGCAGATTGATAGTAGGGATCCCTACGAATTCAAAAAGGTATAACATTTCAAAATCAGACAATATTTACCCGAGACATTCCAAAAAAATCATCAAAAAAGTTTTGATTTTCGAACCTACCCCGATTTTTAGAAAAAACGTGATGTAACCCCTTGCCATTTTGACGATTTTCGTCAAAATTTAGATATTCATTTTTTTGATGCCAATCGATAGTACTGATCCTAACGAGTGCAAAATGGTATAAAATTCCCAAATCGGACGTTATTTGTCCGAGATATTCAAAAAAAACATCAAAAAAGGTTGACTTTACTTACGAATCGGTTTTTTGTCAACAACTTTTTTTAATACATCGATTTTTAATTTCTTTGAATGCCAATTGATAGTTGGGATCCATACGAATTCAAAAAGGTATAACATTTGAAAATCAGACAATATTTACCCGAGATATACAAAAAATATCATCAAAAAAGTTTTGATTTTCGAACCTACCCCGATTTTTAGAAAAAACGTGATGTAACCCCTTGCCATTTTGACGATTTTCGTCAAAATTTAGATTTTCATCTTTTTGATGCCAATTGATAGTACTGATCCGTACGAGTCCAAAATGGTATAAAATTCCCAAATCGGACGTTATTTGTCCGAGATATTCATAAAAAAAAACCTCAAAAAAAGGTTGACTTTACTAACGAATCGGTTTTTTATCAACAACTTTTTTTAACGCATCGATTTTTAAATTCCTTGAATGCCAATTGATAGTAGGGATCCCTACGAATTCAAAAAGGTATAACATTTCAAAATCAGACAATATTTACCCGATAAATTCCAAAAATATTATCAAAAAAGTTTTGATTTTGCTGATCAAGAATATATATACTTAATGGGTTCAGGGTATAAGACTAGAGATTGAGAATTAGGAACAAATTGCGATTAAGGCAACACAGCAATAGATAGGCATCAAACGAGCTGTATCTGTCAGATACTTTTTGTTTTTGAATATATTTATATATTTTCGTTTTTCTCTTTTTTATATTTTATGACGGCGTAGTAACTATGTTAACTATGCTATCACAAAAAGCAAGAAACAAATAAAAAAAAACCACACATTAATTAAGAATATTATTTAAATACATATGTCGTTTCTAAATCGACGGAGTTATTTCGCTTTAAAACGACATCATTTTGTAGAAGTAACGAGTGAGATCCCGGCGAGTTTGCAACAGCTGTAAAACGCTCGCTCGCTCTATCAAAAGTAACGAGTAGCGAGTAGCGAGTAGCGAGTAGCGAGTAGCGAGTAAGATACTCGCGATATTCGAGACATGCAGGCAGAATTCTTAGGTTATGAACTGCAAATAGAATATGCCAAAATGCTTTTGTTTTTGTTTGTTTTTATAGTTTATAGTTTTATTTATTTATTAAATTCTTGTGATTAAAATCAATATATTGTTGTTGCTGTTGTTGTTGTTGTTGTGGTTTGCATACATACATATTTCTTGTAATCTATTCCATTTGTAATAGTTAGTTTGCTTTAAATGATTTAATAATAATTAATTGTATTTAAAATACATTTTATATGTTTGCATTATATCAGTTTTCCGTACGACAAGAAAACAAAAAACGAAATATAGATTGAGAATTAAGAATTAAGAATAAATTGCCAGTAAGTCAAGACAGCAACAGATACGCATCAAACGAGCTGTATCTGTCAGATACTTTTTGTTTTTCATATATTTGAGATATATGTATATTTAGTTTTATTCGATTTTGATGTGCGTGTGTTGTAAACAATTAAATTGTCATTTTGCTGAAATTACATTCAACACAAAAGTGTTATTGTTTCGATTTGATCTACAAGTTCTATCTGCCTTTTTGTTTATATAGTTACTAGTTAGGAGCTGAGGCCCGCAGATATAGCAGAGAATACATATATGTTTTAAATGGGGCATTTAGTAATATGTTTCTTGCCCCTCGTTTGATATACATTCTTGTTTACGTTACAAAACTGAACAGAAACTCAACTTGAAATCATATATTACAATAAACATCGAACAGATTGCATATTAAGGCCGATTTAAACGTATTCATAAACAAGGGATCTTTTTATATATGTGTATATCTATATATATAGTACTTATATGCATACTGCTTTTTAAAGGTACGGCGTACTAAGTATGTTAACTTTGCTATCGTAAAAAGCAAAAAACAATTATATCAAACAAAAAAAAAAAACCTATTAATTAAGTCGAATATATATCGTTAATATATATTTGGCTCTGCAGCGGGTGCAGAAAATTAGGCTAATATATTGTATTAAATGATATCTGGGTAAACATTTCAGCAAGTATCTATATATATATATATATAGTTAATAAGTTTTGGGGCTCAATATGTGTAGTTATGTGTTATTATGTGTGATATTTGGAGTATTAATTAGTTTATTAATTAGACGAATTACTTAACATTCGAACATTTGTGACCGCTGTTCAGTTTATGGCTCTTTACTTTATAGATATAGTTGGATCGTTGTGTCAGAGAGAGAGGGGGGGGGGGGGGTTAGAGGGGGATGAGTATATTGAAATTAGCTTTGGTAAAGCACCAAAATTCGTTTAGTTTATATATATTTTCATTCGCTCTGTTTGGTTGCTCAAACAATCCTAACTACATTTCTGGATACGAATATATAGTTGCATATATCTTTTATCTATTTGTATTTCCATCTCTTATCATATCGCATCTCGTATCTTGTGTACAATTTTTGTTAAAAGCTTTTCCCTTATTCCTTGATTTTATGTTTTCACATTGATGGCTTTTGCTTGCATATAAAAATAAATCTTCCTTTTTCTTTCTAAGACTATGCTGGAAAAAATTTAAGCACGCACACACATAAACACATACATACACACAATCACACACACACACGGACACACAAGCACAACAATCAGCTATAATGCGATACTTTTATCATATACTATTTATATATATTTTAATAAGCCCAACTATTTAGGCGTATTTTCACTTTTATTCCTTTTTGGTCTATATACAAAATGTTCTCGTGTGTCTCTCTGTGTGTGTGTGTGTGTGTGTGTGTGTGTGTGTGTGTGTGTGTGTGTGTGTGTGTGTGTGCGTGCAGTAATCGTAAAACTTCTAGAAAATAATGCGCTTTCTATGTGGTTTGCGTCTAAGATCTATCACGAGAGCAATGCATAAGTATCCCTTCAAATGTTGTATGCCGAAAATCGTTCACTTATTTTAATATCCTATTCTTCAGAAAAAAAAAAAAAAATAGATTAGTAAGTCGAAGAAACGTTAAAATTGTAGTTGAAAGTCTCAATTTGGATTGTAAATGGTTGGTTCTCTGCCAATCACATGGCACGCAGTCCAGAACAATCGCTCGATGAAAGTAACGAGTGGATAGCAGCGAGTAAGATGCAACGTATTGTCAATCGGGTGCTAGCTCTACTCGGAGTAGCTGTCAAGCACTCGCTCGATCAAAAGTAGCGAGTAGCGAGTAAGCTATTCGCTAAGCTAGCGTGTAGAAGTATTGTGTTGGGGATTAGTTCGTTTGCGAAACGCAAAAACAATCGCTTGATGAAAAGTAACGAGTAATGAGTGGCAGCAGCGAGTAAGATAGGTCGTATAGCCAAGCAACGACCGCAACGATCGCACGACATATTTCCGCGTGGATATCACCGACACTCATTGGATCGAAAGTAACGAGAGGGATACTCGATAAACGAGCGAATGTTAATGAGTTGGGGGCAAGCTGTACTTGAAACAGTTGTGAAATGCAAGAACAGTCTTTCTTTGACAACTAACGAGCAACGAGTGAGAGCCCATGTGAAGCGAGTAGATGTATTAGGTTGAAGCCCAGTTGGTTTCGCAACAGCTGTAAACCGCTCGCTCGTTCAAAAGCAACGAGTGACAGTGACGAGTAGCAATTGGGTTACGAAACGCTAAGACTTGGGAATTGGCGATTGGCGATTGGCGTCTGGTGCTCGGACTGGTGAATGGATCAGCTGAAACTGGGTATCTAATGAGGCAGTTATAGTTTTAACTTCTTCTTCTTATTATTATTATTATTATTATAATTACTATAATTATTATCGATTAACGTTTCGTATAGACGAGTATGTTTCATTTGCATATGTGTATTGAGGTCTTTTGGAACGGTTCCATTCGCTTCAATTTGGCCGGACACGCCCCCAAAACCAAACAGACGGACAATTCCAGCTTGGCCCTAACATTAACCTAAGAGGTCTAAGCCCGATTTGTATGCCAACCGATTCAAACCGATTCAAACCGATTCACATACACACATCCCCCACATGGAAGCTATGGAGCTACATATTGGCCGCCGACTGTGGTCTTGTCCTGGGCATGCCCCTTGGCCGGACGCTAGGCGTCCGCGCGCGCCGTTAATAGAGCTCCGTATGATGACGCACTGGCGCTGGAATTTTGGACATGCCGCGCTCCCGTCGCGGCGACACAACCGCTCCAGCTGCCGCCGGTCCAGCGGCCGTCATATCACGCGAATTGTTGCTGCCACAGGAGGAGGCAGCCGAGCTGCGCTTGGAGCGCGCCTTTGCCGGCGGTGAGCAGCTCTCGGAGCGCTCCAGATTGCCATTGCTGTGCACCCACGCCGTGGTGAAGTCCTCATAGACGGGCGTCCTCTTGCCATTGTTAACACAGCTGTTGCCCGGCCGCTGCTGCTGCTGCTGCTGATTGCCGGCTGCATAGCGCGATAGCAGGGTCTTCATCTTCTCGAGAATCTGTGCATCGTTCTTGGCGCTGCTGGCCGCCTCGAGCAGCTGCTGCGCAAGCGGCGAGGAGGCGTGATTCTTTACCGGCGACGTGGTCAGCGAGCTGCTGCAGCCGCTCCGCACGCGCCGCCCATTGCTATCGTAAAGTATCTGCGAGGAGCGCGTCTTGATGCCGCGCTCGAACGGCGATGGCGATGGCGACGTGGATGCAGAGCCGGAGGCTGCTGGCGGTGGCGGTGGCGGTGCCGCAAATGTCTCCGCACTGATCGTGGGCCGCTTCTTGGCGGCGCCGTTAAGCGTGGCAGCGCTGCGTCCGCTCCACGTGTTGGTCACATCCCGCACCAGCGGCAGCTGCGACGCCTTGGGCCGTGCCGCCTGCACCTGAGCCTGCACCTGAGCCTGTGGGGGCCGGCGCACCGAACGATAGACGGGCTGCTTGCGATTGAAAGTGAGCGCCGTGGAACGCGTGCTCAGATCCTGAAGACTGCCGCCGGCATTGCCGCTGCAGGTGCTGTTGTCGATGCTGCGTCGGCGGCGTCGCTGCGCCAGCGGGGAGCGCGGTATCTTGCTGCCCAACGTGGCCGGGGCCGGGGGCGGGGGCGATGCCAACAATTGTGAGGCCATCTTGTTGTCCGCCTCTGGAAGCGGCGAGCTGGTCACCGTTATCTCATCGTCCGTTATGTAAACGCCGGACTGCTCGAACTTGTGGCCATGCCCCTCATAGACGGCCTTGGGCTGCTTGGGCAGGGCCAGCACAGCGGGCAGCGACTGGGGTCCGTCCAGCTCGCAGAGCGCATACTCCGGCTCCTCCTCGGTCACGCAATTGGACTTGATCTCCGGCTCCGGCTCCGCTTCGGGCTCCGCCTCGTGCTCATCTGTCGGGGAGATCTGCGAGTCGCTGGACGTTTGATCGAGACGCGCTGCAAACACAAAAAAAAAACGAGGATCTGTCAGTCTGGAGCTGTGCCCGGGAAGGTCGCCGCCCCGCATTCCATCTTACCATTCGTTTCAGCGTCCTCCATGGAGGCCTGACTGTGCAGGGACTCGCGCTTCTGTGCATTCGACTGGATGACGCCCAGGCTGCGGTAGCCCTCGTCGCTGATCTCGCTGCCATTGTCGCTGATATTCTCAAACTTGCTGCTCTGCTCCGGCTGTCCGGCAACTCCCGATGTGGCCGCCGATGTGGCTCCCGATGTGGCCGCCGATGTGGCAACGCCGCCGCCGCCGCAGATCTCCTCCAGGTTGTTCTCGGCGCTGGCCTGGACGGGCGGCGTCTTGTAGGAGTCCAGCGAGCTCTGCTTCTTGCGCACATCGTTCAGGCGACGCTGGCTTGGCGACATCGAGCGCCTGGCCGGGCGCGGCGAGCCGGACACAGGCTCCGCGCTGCCATTGACCTGGTTCAAGAATTTGCGCTGCGGCGTTGGACTGCGACTGCGATGCTTGACAGCGGCAGCGGCAGCGGCTGCGCTGGGCGACAAACTGGCATTGGGCGTGCTGCTGACGGCTGTTCCAGCGGCTGGCGACACTGCTCCGGAACCGGAACCGGAACCGGAACCAGTTCCGGCCGTTGACAGAACACGTCGTGCTGCGGGTGGTGAGCTGCAAGAATTCGATTTGAGCGTCAGTATATGAAAAGCAAGCGGATCTCGAGTTTAAACCGGTTCGATTTTGGATTCGGTATAAGGCTGGAAACGGTTGGAACCGGTTTGTAACTGGAAGCGGTTTAGCCTGGATCGGGCGTCAGCCTGGAACCGGTTTGAATCGGTTTGAAAATGGAAGCGATTCATCTCCGGAACTGGCTTGAACCTAAAACCAATTTAACGCTGGAACTAGTTTAAGCCTGGAACCAGTTTGAAGCTGGTATCAGAATCGGTTTAAACCTGAAACTGGTTTGAGCCCTGAACCGGTTTGAACCAGAATTAAAATCGATTGTTTGCCGGGATTTTGTTTTGAACTTTAGGTAGTCGAATGAGAAATATGGCATTCCGGACTTGATTTTGAGCGTGCCAAAAGTAACTAGGTTCCAGAAATGAAAATATGGTTAATATATCACTAATTGTAGGTAAATGCGGCTCACGAACCAAATCCAAAAGGCATCCAGGCATTGGTTCGAAATGTGAACTAGAATCTGCAGAAATAAATATGATTCTTCTTCAGGGACTTCTTGAGGTTGGCCCTATGAAATCAAAGATTTCTGGACGGAACCATTTTAATTTTACTTTAAAGTAAGCTATTGCTTTGGCACTTGACGTTTTTTGTATTCACAGTCTATGTATCTATTTGAATTATATTATATTTTTGAGGCTAGATTCTCATCGATTTTACATTGAATTTACAAGCCCATTAATATATAGGGGGCTCAATTGGCATTATGACGGCGCAATAGAACAGAAATACTGGGAATATTGATATCATATCTGATCTGAGTTACAGGCGTCAAGTATCGGACGTTGAAGATTACAATTAGTTTTTGCTTTGCAGATAACGAAGTTAGACAAAAGCAAATTGATAAACATTGTTTTATAAGCGCAAATTGCCGCTGATTGCTTTGATAACTGAAGTCTGTTCATGTTAAGCAATAGGTAAAATATATATTTATGTTGAATATGCCCTCTTATCTCTTAAGAGTGTAACGATAATTGTAGTCTATGGCCATTAAAGTTATATTATAAAATTTAACAAGTGAGCGTCAGCGATTCAATCGAGTACGAATAGTAGTAAATTGAAGGAAAATATACATTCTTTAATTTCTGAATGCTTTCTTTGTTGGATCCTGTTCATTTGTTCCAGCAAGCATGTTAAGTTGGCTGCGCTCAGACTTAACAGCTGTTTAACTTTGCAATGCACTTGTTAAGTTGGCTGCGCTCAGAATTGACAGTTGTTAAGCTTAGCATTGGATCTCTGTCGAGATTGACAGCTGTTAAGCTTATAAATAGCGCTGTTAAGTTGGCTGCGCTCAGAGTTAACAGCTGTTAAACCTATCAATAGCCATGTTAAGTTGGCTGCGCCAGAGTACTTTTTTTAAACTAAAATTACTAAAAGCCAAAGTTGAATGCACGCGCTCAAGCAATTAGCTATTGAAAGACATTATATTTAAAAAAGCACGCAATATAAAGAAAATATAACGACGAAGGCAAGACTTTATCTAAACAAGTGTTTCAGATGTATCTCAAGGACTCTGAGATGGAGTCGGGTAGAGGCTGATAAGCACAAGTTTGCCTTGCGAATGAGCGTGTGGAAATGCATGAATACGATATGAATGCATTTTACAAGTATTAACAACTAGACCATGCCAACACCTAGCCCCTGCCACTGCGCCCCTTCAGGTTGTCGTGCGAGCTTGCCTAATGGAGCTCCTTAATGGCGCACTCAGCTTCAGCTGGCTTGATTCTGGGCCGCTGTCCAACTGTCCAACCGTCCAACTGTCCAACTGTCCAACAGACGGACTGTCTGTCTATTTTGTTGGTGTGTTGGAGACACCATCATTATCCGGCCTTATGCATGCAATTAGCGGGGCGATAACAACTTAATGCATGGCCCATAATGGGCCGCGTTTTCAATTGCAGCAGCCGTCGGCCGGGCGCGTGGAGTGGAAGTGGAAGTGAATGTGGAGCGAAGTGTTGTCTAGCTGGCGTTTAACCTGCTACCCCTCCCATCCCCACCCCTTGCCATCCATCAGAGACGGGTAAATGGAACAGGTCGATTCACTTACCGTTCGTATATCACATGGGCCTTGTGCAGCTCAATGCCATTGCCGGAATTGCCTGTGTTGCGGGTCATCAGACGTGCCTGGATCGAGGTGCGATGCTGGGCACGGCACCGGCAAGGATCATGTTTGTCCAGGTAATGGGAGAGCGTGTCCCAGCCGCCGCCCACGCGTACCATCACATGCGATCGTAGTATCTGCAGGGGTATGGAAGATGTGAATCGATTGGTTACTTGGGCGTAGAGATGGGAGCACGATGCACGAAGAAGACACGATATGACATATTATTTTGGTGTTTACTTGATTTACATTTTAGCCGGCAGTTTAGTTTGGAGTTAAGCCGAATATTATACAAGGAATTAGGGCAAAAATTATCCGTAAGTTTAGCCAAGAGTTCAATTTGAAGCTGAACAGTAAGTTAAACTGGATTTATTTGCGAAACAAATCAAAGATTTTAGCCGAGAGTTTAGTTTGGATTTTAACCAGAAGTTAAGCCGTGAGCAGAGCTCAAAGTTATCAGCAAGTTTGGAGTTTAACCGGGAGTTAAGCCGAATTATCAGTTAGTTTAGCCGAGAGTTAAATTTGAAGCTGAACAAAAAAGTAAAGACTGATTTCTTTGCGTAAGAAATCCAAGATTAGCCGAGACTTCAGTTTGGAGTTTAACCAAAAGTTAAGCCGTGAGCAGAGCTCAAAGTTATCAGCAAGTTTGGAGTTTAACCGGGAGTTAAGCCGAATTATCCGTTTGTTTAGCCGAGAGTTAAATTTGAAGCTGAACAAAAAAGTTAAGACTGATTTCTTTGCGTAAGAAATCCAAGATTAGCCGAGACTTCAGTTTGGAGTTTAACCAAAAGTCAAGCCGTGAATTTAGCTGAAAGTTATTAGAAATTTTAGCTGGGAGTTGAACCGTAAGTATGGACGAAATATTAGACCGGAAGATTAGAAAGTTATCCGGATGATTGCTGAGAGTTAAGTCTGGGAATGTTAGCCGATGCGTTTATCCAACGTATTTAGACGTATTTTCAGTCGAAAGCTTAGCCAGGAGCTTGGCCGGAAGTTAAGTCAACCGTTTAGCCTCCAGATTTAACTCACCCGCACAAAGATGAGCACTTTGGTGTCGCCAATGCGATATTTGCCCTCGGAGACGCGCACCATGGGAAACTGTGAGGGGCATGTGCATTTCTCCACCAAATCTCTGACCTGCAAATATAGAAAATTTGTGTCAAACGTTGTATACATGTATATATATAATATGTGTGTGTGTGTGTGTGTGTGTTGGTGTGCAGAGGGCGGGCAGCCAAAGGCTGACCCCGCAGGCCATTGCATAAGTTCAAGTGAAGCAAACGAATTTTTTTTTTGGAATCGGAATCCGCTTTTCACTGCATAAATTCACGCGCTGCCATTGTCCGAACAAATGATCAAACAAATGAGCGCAACAGCCAAAACGAGCGAAAGACAACAACTCGGCCCAGACCAGACCGGGACCAATAACAGAGAGAGAGAGAGACAGAGACAGAGAGAGAGAGAGACCGCAGAGCAACTGGCTCGCTTTGGATCGTGTCTGTAGGGAGTCGACGGTGCTTGGCTACTGTGTCGCTGCCTTTGACGGGCCTTTTTGTTGGGCTGCTTGCTTTGAGGCAACAGTGGGACAGCGGAGGGGGTGGGGGGGTGGGGGGGGGGGGGGTGTGCCAGGAGGTGGGCGCAACAGGCAAAACGCATTTGCACCTTTGAACTTCGCTAGTTAGTTAGCCAGCCTGAAGCTGGCGCAGTTTGTTTTCTTGTTTTGTTTTTGTCTAGTTGCATTCGTGGCCAACTGGGAACTGTGCCACAGCTGCAAATGCGTCCTCGCTGGAAGGGGTACGGGGGAAGCGGGGGGTGGGGGGGGGGCGTAGCTTGTGGCAAGACGACATCACAATAAATCTAACATGGCGATAAGCCAGCAAAATGATCTGCCAGCGGTGCGCAGATTTGCAATCGACAACGGGCGGGCTGCCAGCGGAGAGAGGCAAGGGGCAAGGGGCAAGGGGGAAGGGGGAAAGGGACAACGGCGTGACTGTGACGCATGCAAGATTAGCCGGCGCTGTGATCCTGGCCTGGGCCATAAATTGCAAGCACAAGCAGCAGCAGCAGCAGCAACAGCAGCAACAAGAGCAACAACAACAGCAGCAACAGCAACAACAGCAACTACAGCAGCAACGACTACAGCAATAGCCACATCAACAACAGCAACAACAATACCCACAGCAGCAGCAATAACAACAACAGCAACAACTACAGCAGCAACAACAGCAACAGCAACAACAACAGCAGCAACAGCAACAGCAACGACTACAACAGCAACAACAGCAGCAACAACAGCAGCAACAGCAACAGCAACGACTACAGCAACAACAACAACTACAGCAGCAACGACTACAGCAATAGCCACATCAACAACAGCAACAACAACAATATACACAGCAGCAACAACAGCAACAACAACAACAACAACAGCAGCAACAGCAACAACAACAGCAACAGCAACGACTACAGCCACAGCAGCATCAATCGCAATAGCAACAACAAGAGGAGGCCCAACAACAGCAACAGCAATCGCAACAACAACAGCAACAATGTTGACGACGCGGACGTGCCAAACGGCAGCGACAAATGATTCGTGGCTGGTTTGCAACAGTTGCTGCTGTAGATGTGGCTGTGGCTGTGGCAGCAACAGTTGCTGCCTGCCGTGGTGGCACATCGTTTGATTTTCGACAAGTTGTTGAGGCTATTTGCTGATTTGGCTGCCGCTGCTGCTGCTGATTTGGCTGCTGCTGCTGCTGCAAACAAATTGATTGGCTGACTGAGTGATCGCGCAGCCAAAGTGCCTGGCCAAGTCCAGGCCAGGCCAAGATCCGACCAGGCGACTCGCCATTCAGCATGTCCGCCCGCCGGGCCACTTTGTTGGCTTTGTTGTTGCTGCTGTTGCTGCTGCTGTTGCTGCTGTTGCCTGACAATGTTTGGGCAGCATGTGGCGCTGCGTGTTAGCCAGCAAAGCGCCGTGGCACGTTCGTGTCCATGTTGCGTCCAATAAATGCGCAACGATTTATCCATCCATCCATCCAGCAGCTGTCTATTGTAAGCCGCGCTTGTTGTCAATGTGTTGCTGGCGGCGTGAGGAAATGTTTTCATGGCTTTTCATTAGTTTTCCGATTTGCCTGGCTGACTGCTCCTCAACAATCCTTGGGCGCTGTCCATTGTCCCCTGTCGATTGTCCGCTGTTTGTTATATGTTGCTGCTGCTGCATGTTGCTGCTGCTGCTGCATGTTGCTGTCGTCGCATGTTGTTGCTCGCAGTCACACTTGCAATTACCATTGACAATTGCGATTGTTGTAATTGTTGTTGGCACATCTGGCGCCAGCGGGCAGCAATCGCAGCGAAACGATACGAATCGGAACGGGCGGGAATGAAACGCCTCGAACATCTTGTCAAATTAATTAACAACATGTTGAGGGACCGTGACATAAGCGCTGCCAATCGCATCAGCAATTGTTGGCCAAATACTTGGCAAGTTTGCCAATCGATAATTGCACTTAAATAATCGATAATCGAAGATTTTGATGATTAGGACACAGAAAACATATTTAACTGATCTTTGAGAAAAATACCAATCTGGAAGCTACAAATTTGGAATATTTATTACGTTTATCTTATTCTATTCGATAACTCCCCTTTTCGTTTAAAGTAAAAGTCAGAAAGTGTTCGATATATTCCTTTCCTCATTATCGATCAATTTCGATTACTAGACTTAAAGCACAAACGAAATATAATCGATATTTTTTCGATGACTCTTATCTTTGCTCACAATCGATAAATTTCAATTATTAGAACTGGTTTCTTTGGACACATGAATTGATCTATTTTACCATATATTTTACTATCGATATTTTGTCGATCGATAAATTTCGATAAATTTATTACAACTGGTTTCTTTGGACACATGAAATCCTTGATAATTTATATTTCTCCTAAAGGCCAACCCCAAAGTAATCGATAACTTTGCTGATTAGTGCGATAATTGTTGAAACATTTCAATTCGATTACTCACTAGTAATATTAAGAGAAACAAATTGAACAGTTGAAACTCATGCATTGCTGTTGGTAAACAAAGATCACGACTTGATGCTAGTAGATTATTTTTGGATAGGTAATACATGTCCCTTTTTTAGGCAAAAGTCGACACAAAATCGTCTTAGCAATTATCCATAGCATTTGTTTTTCGACTCGACTTGCAAACTTTGTCTTTCCTATTCGTTGCTGTTGTTTGCTTTTGATTTGTTTTGCCCAAGTTTGAAACTGGAAACTTAGCCGTGGCTAAAAATGGACATGAGAAAAGTAGCTACAACAACCATCAACGACAACAATAACAAAAAATCGTGAGGTCCGCTGCCACTAAAAACAAAACTAAAAAAAATAAATAAAAGAGAAAACACAGGCCCACTGAACCCACAGAGACACAGAGAAAACCTAAAGAAAAGCAACAGCAGCAGCAGCAGCAGCAGGAGGAAAATGACATCGACAGCAATCGGAATTGGGGAAGGCTTTGGGTTGAGGCATGCCCCAGTTACTCACCATCTCGTCGAGGCTCTTCAGATCATTCGTTATGATCTGCGGCTGTGGCCCGTACATCAGCATCGGATCCTTGTCGTTGTCGTCCTCGTTGTCGGTATCGCTGTCATAGAGATCCGTTTCGATGGCGGCACACTCTGAGCCGATCGGTGGCGCCTCCGTTTGGGTGCCGCTCTCCGAGCAGACGTTCTTCGTTTGTGTGCCGCAGCCGACGCCGCAGCCGCAGCCGATGCCGCAGCCGCAGCTGACGCCGTTCGCCTTGTTATCGGCCGCGATTTCGCGATCGATTTGTCGCTCCATTTGCACCAGCATCGGGGCCAGCATGCCTATCGATAAACGTGCACACATATCGATCAGTTCCGGTTGATCAATAATTGATCGCGCCGTGTTGCGTTGCACTTACCAAACTTGGCGCCACGTCTGGCCACCTCCAGCAGGCAGAGGATCACATGCTTCTCATTCTTGCGCATGATCAGATCGTCCGTCTCGAACAATAGGCACTCGATGATTTTAAGGCTCTTTCTGCAAATGACAAATCGTTTCAAGAGCGTGTGTCAGCCGACATGCATTTAACTGTCAGTCAATGATCAGCGATCACTGATCAGGTTTTTTTCTTTGAGTTATTTGATAATTGATTCTTGGCAAAGCATTCTGTTATGCTCAGCAGCTACTCAGGGATCTTAAGTAAAGGATCGATCAATGACGATCGCTGATCTACCCAAAATCTGCAAAACCTTTTGAATTGAGGATCAAATTGTATCGATTGTATCGGTCAGTAATCTGCAGCCTTCATTCTCAGCAAGTCTCGCAGAGAACTCAAATCGAGGATCATGTCATAATGTCTATCTGTGATCTTCATGTTATACAAAAAAAGGTTCGAAAATAAACTTATTTTAAATCAATGTTATTGATGAAACATATCATCTCTAAAAGGTAATCAATTAAAGATAACTGAGAAACTGAAAGCTAAAACCTCACAATCGATATATCGATCTTTAGATAAGGTCGATAAGGTTCTTAGACAGCTGGCTTTGGTTTTCATAGCGAATCATTTCGGTCTACTTTGAGAACAACTTTATCAGCACAGACTCCACAGAACTGCGATTTATGATCGTGAAAAGTTGAATTATCGATGCTCAGCTTGCAGCTGGAAATTCTATCCCAACTAGCTTCTAGTTAAGAGCCTGTAGATGTTCTCTTAAAATGAGACTAATGACAAGATCTGCCAGCTGGAACTAGTTGAGAATTATATTGATCGTATAAAAGTCTGAACTTGTGATAACTCGAAGCAGTTGTGAATTTGAACCTTAAATGTGTCTAATTGGAAAGCATAGCTATGTGGAAGATTTAGATCTAGTTTGAATTTGTATAAGTTAGGCTAGGACTCACCTGCACCAGGTTATAAAGTTGGAGACATTGTCGCGGGCAAAGAAGGTGCCGCTCTTCGCCGCGGGCAGATAATGCACATTGCCCAGGGCGAGTATCGGTCCGGCCAATCCGGAAGTCATTGAGCGTGTCATTGATTTGTTGCGCGCCTGTCGCCGGGCCAAATAGTCCTCTGCCGCTTGCCGCACATAATTTGCGTGCTGAAAACAAATTAAAGAGCGCAACAACAATAAATTAGACACAAAAGCGACAACAACAACAACAACAGCAACAACAATCGCGCCGAGACGCATCGCAAGTGAAAGTCAAAAATATTTTGGCTTATTTTAAAGCGCGACAAAAATCTAGAAAAAGTTTATTTTTAAAGAGTCTCAAGAATTTAGCGCGGCATTTTTAGGCTGACGGCAACTGAGCAGGCCGCAAACGGGGCAGCTGCCCCGCCCATCCCCCCCCCCCCCTTGCCCAGCTCCACCGGCAGAACAGGGTCTACGCGTCAGTTCGACTGATTGCAGCGAGCTGCGGCAACCAGGCCAGGGCACAGGAGCTGCCATCATCCGAATGATGGCGCCGCAATGTTATGCATAATTAATTAACACGCAGCCCAACCCCAGCCCCTCCATCCACCTACCCGCAAACACTCGTCACTTATCAGTCATTTGGCCAGCACATAAATTGTGAATGGGCGGGCCTAGCTAAATATGTGGCACACATTTTTCACATATTTGCTACAGCTACAATGTAGATCAGTGCGATTCTGCATTACAGGATCATCGAAATATAACTGGTTGGGAATTATAAGGGAATAAGAGCTGCGCTTGATTGAAAGTAATCCCATCTGCCTTATATACAATCTGCCAGTATGTAGATCACTGCGCACTCATTACGGAATGAGCTAGAACTGGTTGGGAATTATATGGGAATAAGAGCTGCGCTTGATTGAAAGTAATCCCATCTGCCACATATACAATCTGCCAGTATATGAACTCATGACAGCAATCCTTTTCTCACATAAGCTCGAACAATGTGAGCTTATGACAGACACTCTGCGCTATAACTAGTTGTGAATTATAAGCAAACAATAGGTGTTTTTGAGTTTGACTGAGGATCAGAGAGCCAAAAATTGGTGGCGTTAGCGTGTGCTTGACTAGGAATATATTAATACAGAAATTCCCATAAGAGTACACTTATTCTAACAATCTATCTATGAAATTGTAAACTGTATCCAAGAAAAACATATAAAATTTAGTTTTTATTAGATCGATTGCTCCTATATATTAAATGTCAAAGACAGAGTAAATATCGTAACTGCTTAGTTTTGTCAATATTTCATGCCTGTCAAGTTTTATCACGGCAATAAGGAGACAAACCGATGGAAATCTTGATACTACTGATCAAGATTTTCCATATATATATACATATGCTTTTCTGAGGTCGGACATGTCTCCTCCTGTGATTTACGCATAAGATGACTACAAATATACAAATTTTAAATCGAAGATGTCTATCGCATATACTACAATGCAGATTTAATTAACAAAGCTTGGTCTTCTTAGGTCAGTTCAAAGCTTTTCACATGGATCTGGGAAATTGTCAAACTTTGAAATGAACTTGAATTGCGAACGATAATTCCTATAAGGTTCGCCCAATCGTAACATTGCTCCATTAACAATTTGCTGTACTTGTAAACACTTTACATCCATTTGCAGCCCTGAAGATCAAGCTGTTTTTCAACACTGTCACACTTGTCGCCCCCGCATGCACCGTTAGCAAAAAAGAACTGACGTCGCTTTTTGAGGTTATGTCATCAAGATTGGCGCGCGTCGTTTATTTAATGTTATGCGATCCAATCCGATCCGATCCGATCCGTTCCAATCGAAGCCAATTCAGATTCGGATTCGATTTGAAGGCGCTGCTTGGCACGACGAAAGGCAACAACATGCAACAAATGGGAACGACGTGTCATGCATTTCCATTTCCATTTCGATTTCCATTTACATAGATCATTCCATATTCATTTATGCACATTTTTGTAATAATTTAATATTTCAACAATTTCAATATTTCCCTCTCTCGTGTCGCGTTATTATTTATTTATTTTGTATTTTTCATCTTTTTTGTTTATGGCTATCTCCACAAACTGCATTCAAAGTGCTTTATTTGGTGTTTATTGTTTCACCGTTTCGCAGTACCCTAAACCCAAACAAGGGCATCATCGCAAGCTGCTGACGTCTGACGTCTGGCGATAAATGCCGCCGGGCGGTGGGCGTGGCAACATCGCAATTTGCCTATTGTCAGTAAATGGAATGCAATAATATATTTGAACGTACAAGCAGATACAAGTTGGCACTGCTGTGAACTTAAAATGAATGGAACAAATTGGCAGCACTTTACATTCAATATTATTATGACCAGGTGGCAACACTGAAGTGATGTTAGAGCATTCGGAAGTCGCATTTGGCGTCTCCTCCGGCAGCAGCTGTTATCAAGGCAAAGCTCGAGCCAGACACTGACAAAAGACAAAAGACGCCCACGATGCATTTGGGCCCGAGGCGTTAAATAGGTCTGCATCTTCGCGCTGCGCTGCGCTACCCACGGTCGGGCATTTGGCCTTGTGCAAGCCAAATCGCAGTGGACATCTTATATTTTATTGCCTCTAGACAGCAATACAATATTGTCTTCCCATTCAACTGAGCTGAGTCAGCGCAGCTTTTTGGTAGCGCATCGCAGCTTCGGTTAGAACCGAGACCAAAATTCAAATTCAAATTCAAATTCAAATCGAAGCTGTGTGTGGTGCATGTGCCTTGACGTTAAAGGTGCCTCGTTGCCGCCGTTGTCGTTGTTGTTGCCTCCACAAAGCTGCATCAGATTTTCACTTTCGAAAGCGTCGGCATCGACACGAGGAGCATGGAAATAGTTATTATGACATCACAATCTCTCATGCTGCAGCACGTGCCAAAGTTGTGATGATGTTTTGATTAAGCCAGTGTTGAACAACGATGGCACTCGATATGCAGCCATGCATTCAATGCAGATGAGCTGCTCGGTTCCACTCCAGTTGGCCCTAAGCGCCGCAAGCCTTGGCCATTGCCAGTCCTGCCAAGCTATTTGAGGCTAGATATTAGTGTTGGACAAATTTCTAAGATGCCAGGCGCCGTGCCAATCTCGGCAGAGCCTTACAGGCTCACGTGTTATGAGTACCAATCGATATTAGTGCTGGGCAACACTTCAGGAAGCTAATTGACGTTATTGCTTTATGCATACCTTTGTTGTGTTACTTTGATAAAGTATAAAGGATGGTTGTAGTGCAACTGCCGAGGCTTTCGACCGAACAGTGTTGAGCAATGGCGGTATACGATATGGACCTGTGCGCTAAGAAGAGATGAGCCGAGTTTGATTATTGCACCTATCGATATTAGTGTTGAGAATGTCTTAAAAGCGCATGCAACAATTCGTGTATGCAAAACAAACTCTGTTTCTTCCGAATTATGTGTGAATTTCTCAAGCAGACTAGCTAAAGCCTGATTAATTGAATACGTATTGGTTACTTATAATAATTGACTCAAACGTGGCAAAGTTTTCGACAGTTAAGTGTTGAATAACGACGGCATTCGATAGACAGCTTTGCTTTGGTTAGAGATGAGTTCATCAGCTGTGCCGAATGTCGAGCATTTCCGGGCCGTGCGAGGCAATGTGGACACCTGCCGCTGCGCGTGTTGTACCAAATCTCTTCTGCAACATTTTCGAACACTAATTTACGGAACGAACGACAAAAGTTATACTCTATTACACGATGCCTTTGAGTATGAGTCCAGCCAAGGAGTATGCAAGTGCCAATCGGCACCTGTGGTCGTAATTGAATTGAAACAGTGTTGGTCAACGCGCAATTTGATGCGCACCTTTGCTTAGCTTGCCGGGCTCGCACCACAATTGCTTCCAGTGTTGACCGGATGTGCCTGGGAACTTTTTGACAACGTTATGGCCGGCAGCCATATCCGTCCTTTTCGAATAAATCGCTTCGCAAGCTCACATCGTAACCGAAAACATTATCCTTGCACTTTCAAAAAAAGAATCGTTCGCAAAAGTAGAGTAGGTGAGAGAATGTTCTTAACTTTCCGTTTTACTGTGGAAATTCATTGCAATTTTTATATAAATAATTTGCCGGAGCTAGTCGATTGCTTTCAATATGAATCCATTCAAAGGCGCAGCCAACGGGGAGTGCAATAATCAATTGGTCGAGGCTCGGACGTTGTCCCGTGCAGCCCGAGCGATTCGCGCCTTCTACACAAATCCAACCTGGGCCACTTTGCTTACTGCCATCGTTGCGGCCTGCCGGAGCGAGGACGGTGACGGGGACGGGGAGTTTGTGCGTCAACCAGATCTTCCGATTGGCCAATATATGGACTTCTTTATGCGCCAGTGCATCCAACTGCCGGCCGGCCATGTGCTCTCCCGCACGGTGCATGTGAATGCGACTATTTTCCTAACACACTGCGCCCGGGTGTGCAGCAAACGTGACTGTGCCGGGCGCTTGCTGCCAGAGAATGAAGAAGATCGGGCCCCAAGTTGTGCTCCCGATAAAAGCGACCAGCATCCAAATTCTCCATACAATTATGTGATGAAACCAAAACCATTTACGGTGATGTCCGACGCGGAGCGCTTCAGCCGCAAGCATATGCAATATAAGCCAGTCCGTGAACTGTACGTAAATAGTACGGATTATGCGGTGCATCCCTTGTGGCGGGGCATACAGCTGGTGGATGCGACAGATCCGAATATCGTTGACTTGAAGGGCAACTATAAGCTGTTCACCTACCATATGGATACCACATCGAACACGCTGATGCCGGACATTCCCTTTCGTTCCAGGCAGTTCTCCAATCGGCTCGCGATCATAGACGACGTCGAGAGCAGCGCCGTAGCGTTCCGCCATCTGCAGTCGGCCAAGAACAACGAGCTGGACGATCAGTCGGATATGGCCGAGTCGATAATGCTCGAACGCCCCATTAATAATATGAACATCTCGGATATGTCTATCGAGTCGGACGAGCTGGGCGATCAGGGCAGGGTCATCAGGGTGGAGCAATGGAATCTTGCCGACGAGAGCTCTGTCACCGAGCTGGAGCCTCGGAAATACGACTTCGTGAGCCGTGCCATGAAGGCTAAGTCAGCGGTCGAAGTGAAGTCTGAACCTTCGGATGATTGTGTTAAGAAGCCTCGGTTTCTTATTATTCCAATGTCCACGGACTCATCCGCTGACGAATCGATTGCCGAGCAGCTAAGTGAGAACGCCTTGCCGATCCTACAGTGTCGCTCGACCAAAGAGGATGGCGGAGACGAAGATCCGGATTCGCCGTTCAATGCCAATGTGCGTCCACGCAAAGTCGAGGCCAATGCGAAGGGCGAGGGCGAATATGACGGAGGAACGGTCAGCATTATTCCCATTGCCGCCGGCATTAGGGATCCGAAGCTGTTCTCTTACAACACCAACGATGCCAGGGTGCAGCAGCTGCTGCCGCTATTGCCACGCACCAAATTTCAAATTGAAGCCGAGGCGAATGCGCAGGCGGCGCAGATCCGTGGCAGCACGTCGTTGATGGACAAGCAGAGCTACTTGGAGGCGCGCTTGTCGAAACTACAGCGGCACCTCGAGGAGCCGTGCAGCAGTGAGGCAGCGAACAGGCTGCGCCTCGAAATGATCCAGATTCGGCGGCAGCTCATCAGTATTCAGCCAGACTCGGAGGAGTCCTCCGACATGGATGTGCAAGTGCCGGAACTGCTGACGTCCAGCCGTTCCAGATCGCTACTAAACGACGCACTGGACAATATGTTGCGGAACATTAGCCGCGACACGGCGACTGTTATGGAGCGCAGACTGACCAGAAATGTGGCCGGCTTCCTTGGCAGCACACGTCCCGATCAACGCTCCCCGTCGGTGTCCGTTGCAGTGTCGGACGAGCTCGCGCGCAAGGTCGTCAAACGTCGCCTGTCGAACAACGCGGCAGCAACAGATTCCCCACTCAACAGATTGCCCGGGAAGCGTCGCTGCGAGGAGCCACAGACGCACACGCCCCATCATGATATGCCCGTTGCCGAATGTGAGCGCAATGCGACCTTGGCCAGCACCCTCACTAGCATGACCCAGGTCAAATGCGATCTGCGGGCGGCCCAGCATCAGCTACGGGCACGCATTGTGACGATACACGGGCGCCTGGAAGAGCCGTGCACCAGCAGGGAGGCGCATAAGTTGCATGAGCAATTGGCGGGGATACGCGAAAAGCTGGCCACGATTGATGAGGCACTCGATGCAACTGTGCCGGACGGCTCGTCGGACATGGACTTGGAGGTGTCGACAACGGACTGCGATATACTGGATGTGCAGCCAAGCGAGCCGCGGGACATTGGATTCAATGAATCTGGCTTTTTGGTAAGCACGCGCTTGGATCAGACGCTGCCAAGGTTTCAGCCGACTGGTTTCAGTCTATCGGAGAGCACTCGCCTGGACGAGCAGTCGCGGCGTCCAGGAGCAGATGACTCCAGCAATAGGTCGGAGCAGCTACTGCCGACTGGCGACTCGGGCATTGTCTCAGCAGATGCGAGCGACCAAGTGGTGAGTATGTATAGCAGCTAAAGCATATTGGCCAGTGTTGACTCAAGCTTTGCCCACAGCATCCATCGACGCTCCAGCAAAGCGGGAATATGGACATGGTAATAGAGAAGCAGCTGGATGGGAGGCAGCAGGAAGAGCTCGCCAAGTCGCTTGAGGAAGAGACTGCGGAAGAAGAACAGGAAGATGATAATCACGACGTGGAAACGAATGTTGACGACGACGACGACGACGACGATGAAGAAGAAGAAGAAGAAGATAAAGTGCGTCAAAAGCCCGAAGTCGATGAACTCTGCGATGCTATGGAAGATCAGTCCGACTCTGAGATCAGCCATTGAGTACTGGCCTCTCTGATCCTGGACTGGACTATGCCTTTAATCCTAATCCAAATCCAAATTCTCGGATGCATGTAAATAAGTAACGACCCAACACTTTTATTCATATACATATATATATAATACTATATATACATATATATATATTTTTTTTATATTTTACCAGGAATTTTTTCAAACTTTTTGATATTTTAGTTGAAATATTTTCATTTTTTTTTAATTTTTAAAATATTTATAAACTTGTACATATTAATTAGCTTTATAATAATGTAATATATTTATTTATTTATTTGTTCAGGTATTTATATTTAAATTCAAAATTGTAATTAATTTAACTTTGACAGCAATTGGCAGAGAGTTTTTTCGATTTCATTGATATTATTAAATATTTAATGTACATTTTACTTTGTATATAACTTTTGGTTCGAATATATATATATATAAAAGAATATCAGAATATATAAGGTATATAAGATACCGATTTCATGTGAGCTGAATCCAGATGCTTTTTTATATCATATTGGGAAATCGCACAGATTTTAATTTAAGTTTGCATCTTACAGCCCCACTCGAAACGAAAGACTGTTGAACAGTCAAAGGCGAACGACTGTCAGATACTCTCTAATTCTGGTAATTGAAAGTTGCATTATGCCCAACCAATTTTGGAAACGCTAGACAAACGGACGGATAGTCGATCAGATAGAAACTGCATATGAAGAGATAACTGGTAAAGCATAGCATATATCTATGAAGTCGTAAAGTATATATACACATATATATATAGATATATGTATATAATATATTCATTCATTAATGCCGATCAACAGCCGTATATAGTATATAGTATATGGTACATGGTACATGGAACATGGTACATGGTACATGGTACATGGTACATGGTACATGGTATATAGTATATAGTATATAGTATATAGTATATAGTATATAGTATATAGTATATAGTATATAGTATATAGTATATAGTATATAGTATATAGTATATAGTATATAGTATATAGTATATAGTATATAGTATATAGTATATAGTATACGTTATGGTATACTAGATACTAGATACAAGATACAGGATACAAGATACAAGATACAAGATACAAGATACTATATACTAGATACTAGATACTAGATACTAGATACTTGATACTAAATACTTAATACTAGATACTAGATACTATATAGTAGATAGTAGATACTAAATACTAGACACTATATACTTGATAATAGATACTATATTACTATATCGTCTAGCTCTATAAGAAAAATCGTTGGAAAAGTGAAAAGTTTTCTTGGCACATAGTTTTCCCCTCACATACATATCTCGCAAACCGTATCAAATCGAACTGTTATATCTCGTGTGTCTTCAATGGGGGAAACAATTGTTCTCGACACAGAGCTTTGGCTTTTCCCGACAATATTTTTGGTTCGCCTTGGCTTAAAGTTGATATAAAGTCGTGGCATGGGTCAGAGGCCCCGCGGGCTGGGGAGGGGTTGGAGTGCGGGTGTCCGATGTCAGGTGTCGATGCGCATATTAACGTGACTTTGCCAACACTGGCAGAGCTGCCGCAAGTGGACGCAATGTGGGCCAAGTCGATGCTGCAGCTGCAAGTTGCATGCAACAAAGCGCAAGTACGTGACATGCGGCTGATATGTGTGTGTGTACAGGTAAAAACAAAAGAAAAACAAATGAAAGAGAGCGAAAGCCGTTATGGAAGCGCAAAAGATGTTGCAACACGCGCCGCTTGGCCGGAACGAGGCGGGGCGGGGCGGGGCGGCTGCCACGATGGGTTTGCGGCTTGTGGCATATGCGACATAGACTGAGGTGTGGGGAAGGGTATCTGTCACGTAATTAGCTTAGATTTTTGCACTTTATTTTTCTGCTTCTGCCCGACCCGAATGTGTGTCAATATGACGTTAACAGCATTAGGCAAAAGGCGATTGCGAAGTAAACAAAATCATATATATATAATATATATATATATATATAGGGGTATTTGTAGCCGCAATGCCCGTAACAGCTTTTTGCTTCCGCGAAAAAGAAAACCCAAATTAAATCAAACAAAATTAAAGCGAACTGCAAAAAATGAAATACAAAATGACATTGCAAAAAAATACGAACAATAAGATTTATATTAAATATATATGTATATAGAAAATATAAAACATACAGATACCCTGGGACCTTGACTATGCAACAATATATAGCGTATATATAAGGTACAGTTTATATATACATATATAATATAGTATATATATAGTATATATGTACATATGTATAGTATGTGATTAGAGAAATCATTGACAACTTCAAATTGGTGAGTTTTTAATATTATATGTGGTCAATAATTTTGAACAGATTTTGCCCAAGGGAGCTATATGATATATAAAGGAAGATATACATATATATATATATATATAGTGTATTTAGCTAATCGGTAAGTTGGTTTTCTGCGTATTTTCAGTGCTTAAACAAACACTTAACTTGCAGGCAATTCCTCCGATTGACAGCTGTATACTATGCTGGCCCGATCTAGCTGACTGATATACATATATCTATATATATGTATATATATATAGATCTAGCCTGTAGCAGCAAGATGAACAAGCTTGGCTACTTCCCAAAAATCGTTACATATAGATTAAAGTAAAGGGTATCAGAAGTCAAGCGACTGCAATTACCTCAGCATACCCTGTACATGCCACACGCGGCTGCAAGGTATAAGCGACTGCACACACCCACACTAATCACATGTGTGTGTGTGTGTGTGTGTGTGGGCCTCTGACTTGGCCAACGCCTAAGCGGATTTGCTGTCAAATAAAAAAACACACACACACACACCAAATTTCGCATTGTGTTGGCTGTCTTTGAGCTGGTCGCGGCCAGGGCGGCTGTGGAGTAGAGGGAGGGGGGAGGGGGGGAGGAGGAGGGGGAGGGTAGACGGCAGCTCAAAGAGCTGAGTCTAATGGAGTGAAGTGGACTTGCCACCGATTTTATTCAGATAGCCAGCTAGGCACGAGGTTTGTTTCGGGCTTTATTTGTGTTTTATTTATTTTTTATTTTTTTTGCTGTTTTCAACTCAATCAAAATCACAAAATCAAGAGATGGAAAAAAAAACTGTCCACGCTGTTCCATTCAAAATCATATTTCAAAGGCCGTGTCGACAGCAACAACAACAATATTTGTTGGTTATTGTCTGTTTTCGATACCCTGTAATCTGTTGAAAGTGTTTGGCACATATGAGCTAAGAGAGAGAGAGAGAGAGGGAGAGCGAAAGAGAGAGAGTCTGTCTGAACTCTTCGATCTAGGAAACAAAAGCTAGAAACTTGAGCTTATTCTCGATGACTTCCAACACTTGCATGTTATCGATAAATATCGATATTTTAGCACATGGCATAACTCGAAGATCAAAATTTGGGTTACAGCTTCTCGTACACAGATTAAGAGTATACCACTTTCTGGGTACCCTCTCCCAATGCTCCATTAAATGGACAAAAAAAAAAACTCATATTTAAGAGTTAACATTTTTGTATAGCTGGCAACTGGGCTTAGGGTATCCTCCAGTCGGACATTGGCGAGCGCTCTTTTATGATTTCTTTCTTGGAGTTCAAGGTTCTCATGGACAACTTCCTCGTAGCTAACTAGCTGGCCAAGCCGTCTTGTGTGTCTCTCTTTTGGCCAGTTGGCAATGATAGATCGCTGCCAAATGATTGTTGCAACAACAACAACAGCAACAACAACAACAACAACAACAACAACAGCAACAGTTGCTGTTAAAAATCTGTGTATTGGTTACGTCGGTCACCTGCTCGGGGGCCCCGCTTTTGATCTTGGCTATACTAGAAACTTATGAATTTGATTGGGCTGTTTTTTTTTTGTTCACGTTCCTTTCATCTCCTCTTCTTGTTTTTTTGGCCAAACGTTAACGGTATTTCCATAATGCCATAGAAGGCGTTTTGTTTGCCAAAGTTTGTTGGCCCCTCCGTCTGCCCGTCCGTCCGTCCGTCCGTCCGCTCGCTCAGGTGTGGGAAACGACCATGGCCAAAAGATCGATGAGATCAGATCACTGATCGATAGTCAGCATATGTGTGTGTGTGTGTGTGTGTGTGTGTGTGGGCATAGCTAATATAACTGCAGATATGCAATTGGTAATTGATACGAGCTGGCAGCTTGTGGGAACTGACTGCAGCCAGAGCCTGATCATAGATCTATGACACAATTTGTCACAGATCAGCAAATACTACGATTTAACAAATGTCTCCAGCATACGAGGGAGGGGGAGGGAGAGGGGGAAGCGGAGGGGGGGGGGGGTAGATCGTCAAGAATTTCTTATGCAGTAGAAACGCTTGCGAGTTCGTAAAGTCAAATAGAGCATTAAAATCTCTGAATTTTTGAGCTTTTCTAAGTTTTAGCTTTTCTTTCATGCTCTTATTGGGGGTATTCATATTTGTCAATATATATAAAATATTATATATATAATATATATAACGCATAGAAGACCACATAAAGTGTATATATTCTTGATCTGGGACCAAAATATTATAAACATCGGATCATTATAGCATAAATCGCTATAGACAGAATCGTTGGAAAAGCGAGTTATTGTAGGGAAAATTGCACAATTATCGTGGGATATTTGCTAAGCCCCAAGCCATATGTCTTTCAGGGTATTTAATCCAAAGTTAGACATTATTTGTATTTCTTTGTAATGTTCGAGAGGTGAATGTACTTCAATGTGAAGTATGGGATTGTACTAGAATATATTACATGTATAGCTGGCAGCTTCTAGATAGATATAACTTGGCCAAATAGATGCATATACATATGAATATATTGATCTATCTAGTAGTGTACTAAGTATATACCATGCTATACTTTACTATACACAGCTAACAAGACAAAGCCGCTGCCAAAACAAAACTAAACTAAACCACACTGAACTGGTTTGTTTTTTTTTGTTTTTTTGCCTTCTTTCTGAAAAGCCAAAACGAATTTTGAATGTGGGTGAAGTTGTTAAAAAATGTGGCAAACGCAAACGCAAACGCAATCGAGGCCAATCGCCCCGTGTCGGCTGGCTTCCAGAGCGACACCCTACCCCGCCCTCCATCAATGCTGTGGACCTGCCAAGCGCATATTTAGTTATAAACTTGAATTTAGACTCGGCCCAAAATTAGATAGACAGACTATGGGCTATGAGAGAGAGAGAGAGCGCGCCGAACGACTCGCCCCGAGACAGTTACAAATGTGGTCGCAAATGCCCAAAAATAAAAGAAAAAAATAACAAAATAAACAAAAACGTTAACGAAAACGAAACAAGAATGCGCGCCTTGGGAACGAAACGAAATGGCATGAAACGGATGAGACCATAAACAACGCTTACAAACGGTCTATAAGCCATGAGCGGTAGCTCCAATTCCGTTGACAATTGACTTGATTTGCTGCTTGACGAGCTTCCTGTTACAAATTAACATATTAGCATCAGCTTGTTTTAACATGTGCCTGGTAAAGTGCATGTTAGCTGGCATGTAGCCTAAGCGCCCTTTAATATCTGAGCGTTCGATTCTTGTGATAAGCGTTGATGCATATGTTAAGCAAGTGGCATATGGATAAACTTGCCTGATATTTGAAGTGCATGTTGGCTGGCCTGCTGTTAGATATATGTATCTAAATATCTGTATAGCTTGCAACTGCAGCTACCACTAGCTTTGTTGGCATATACAAACTTAACAAGCATTTACCAGTTGGATGTATACTTCCAGGTAAATGATGACAGCCCGACTGACTAATAAGCAATTTGAGCAAATGCAATTAACTTAGACAACATGTTAAAATAATTGGCAACTTTAACAGAAATATGACAAAACGCTCCCAAATAGGTAAACACTGGCGACAGCTAAATGTGCGTCTCGCATATAATCTTTGTGCGATCTGGCAATCTCTGTGCGGGGGAGGCGGATGGGAGTTGAAGGGGAGGGTCGAAGGCAGAGAGTCGTGCCAATTGCCAGGCCATGTCTATTTGGCTATTTGTCCAGTTTTGGGCACAGAGCGCAAAAGCATTTCAATGCTTGCCAGGTAAATACGAGCATATGTAAATATTAATTTTATTAAACAAACGTGACGCGAACTCTTTTTTAAACGTTGACACGACAATTGCAACCCACACACACACACACACACACACACACATACGCGCGCGCTTAGTTGGCTTAGATTAAACAGTGCGCGCTTTTCATATTTGGCTTTTCAATTCACAATATTTATGCCATGCAAAACTGTTGTTTATTGTGTCTGTTATTGGACCCAGCTACACACAAAAGGTCGCCGCTTTGGACTTGGACTCGTTTTCAATGTTTTTTTGCGCTTTAAGTTGGTGACATCGTCCGGCTACGTGCAGGCGTCGCAATCGCAGTCCAAAACGGCGGCAGTCCATCAACGAGACGCATCCAAATGCGTGGGAAATGTGCGCCGGCCTTGCTTTGAAGTCGGGCCTGTTGCGGAGTCAGTTGGAAAGGCTATTTGCGGAATTTCAAAGGCAAAAACTGTGCATACTCATCGCACACACACACACACACAGCGACAGCGACAATACAAACACCCGCCTTGTATATAAATTGCATAAAGTTTTTGCTAGTGAAAGCTGCTTAATGTGTGCACACACTGCCCGGCATTACAACTACTGTGACCCTGTCAAGCGTAATTTGCCGGCATTACACGCACACGCACACGCACGCACACACACGCGCACACAAAGAGCCGACTCAAATTGGCATGTAACTGTCGCAAAGCGTGCACACACTGGCAACAATGTGACCCCCTGCTGAGCGCAGCAATCATGAAAACCAAAACAAAGCGCGCTGCGCTGCGTATTGTGTGATTAAGTTTGCAAATAAGGCTAAAGAAGCATAATTGTCACATAATAGACGCAAAACTTGGCTTGCACTTGCACGTTAATTGGCCTAAAAAAAAAAAACCACAATACAAAAATAAATACAAAATGAATCATCGGCAACAACAATTGGCGCATTTCGTAGGCGACTCGCAACGATTTGGACTTCCTTTTTTGTGGGGCGGCCGTCACATGATTGTCGCCATTGAGACGGCACGACAACTGCAACTGCAACTGCAACGTGACGCATGAGCAGTGGCAGCAACAACAAGTAAGCAGTAGGGAGTGCCCGACTGGCAGATACCCTGCTTCTCTTAGTGGCACACTACTTCGGTGCTTATGGTCCGATCTTTATGAAGTTTTCGCGGCTTACCAATTATCATCCTATTATAAGAATGTAAGAGTTTGCCAAATGTACGTAATAGAAGTATACATAATACCAATTTCAAGTCTTTACCTCTTGTAGCATCCGAGATACATAGACGCGATCACAAAGAGAAACAGGCAGACATGACATGTGACTATGTGCCTAAAGGAGTAGGAGACGCTTCCTTCTGGTCATAACATGCACATGCACTGGACCCCTTTTATAGCAAGCAGTTGGTGGCGATGCGCTTTAACCTTTAACCGCACCCTAGCCCCCGGCCCCCGCCGCCCATGTGGTTTCTATTTTGGAGTTGCGACAAATATAGAGCGCAATCCCTAAGACGAATGACCGTTAATGGAGACATTTGTGTGCGCCTAGGGGTTGGGGGGTTAAATGTATTTATAAACGTGCATATAGATATGTGTACGTGCACGTGCACAGCTTGACAACTTGCCTGAAACGATCTTGATCTTAGCTGTGGCACATGCCACACAACGCGGCCAGTTCAATAACAATGGCCAACTTTGAACAAAGGCGAATTTTCAATTGTGGCGCGCACAGTGGCGGCCACTTACAAGAACTTTAACACGCCAGAGTTCAAATTAGTCAGCAACACTCCATAAATCAGACAACGGAAAACAATCATAAAGAAACCGACCTGGCCACCGATCGGGCCACCAGGCCATGGCAGCGCCTTGCCATGCACAGATCTGGCTGGCGCTCTCTGGACACACGGGCAGCTGCCGCAACAACTGGCCAATCGAGTTGGGCCGCCCGCTGCTCTGGGTCGAGCGATTAGCATACAATTTGCGAGGCAACTTGTTTTTGTTGCTGTTGTTGTTATTGTTGCATTGACAGCAATAAATAATAAAATTGCATTGCAATGCACTTTGCCAGGCGGATTAATCGCTAAGTTGAACAAACTGCACCAAAGGATGGGTGAGCTAACAAAAGGAATGCATGAAGTAAGTCAAGTAAGTCAAGTATCAGCTAGATTAAATCAATATATCAAACTAATCAGTTACTTTCCTCTAGGTTCATAAGCAATTGCAATGCAATGCACTTTGTCAGTCGGATAAATCGCAAAGCTAAATAAACTGCAGCAATAGTTAACAGAAGGAATGTATAAAGTGTGTCTACAATCAGCTTGATTGCAATAATATATTAAGCTAATCGGTTTCTTTCTTATGTATTCCGGGTATTACATAGTGCGCTACAAAAATAAGCAGAGGAAGTGCATTAAAGACTCGCACAGTGTTGTTCACTTTGCCAGGCGGATAAAACTCAAAACTAAACAAACTGCAAAACTGTATTGATGGTGGGGAAAAGGTGACTACGAAATTGTCGAGCACTTAATTTAATCATTTTTTTTAACCCTATATGCAGTGTATTTAAAAGTCTTGTGCACTCGCCTGGGCAAGCCATAAAAAATAACTGGCGTCTGTTGTTGTTGCTGCTGCTGCGGCACAGTGTCGTACAAATTGCACCGTTAATAAAGTCAAAATCGGATTAGGCACGCCTCGATCGACGCCTGCTTCCCTGCCCGTTGGCTGCCCCAGCTGAGCAACGGGCCTAAATGGAGCTCAGCTGCACGCCCGTTGCCAAGTGGCCAACAGTTGGTCAACCTGGAGACACACTTGCAGATTGGGACCCACAGATGCAGATAGATATTTGATCTCGTGGCCGAAAATGCCAAACAATAAATTGGCACTAATGAATTTGATTCATTTCGATTTGCTTTTGGCAATAACTAAATCAACATTTCGGGCTGACAGTTGTCATAAGGCAAGACTGACCCATATGTGTCCGACGGTAGGAAAAGGAGTGCCAGCATAAAAACAAAAAAATTACAAAAATAAATAAAATGAACATAACTATGCGCATATCTTGATAGATTTAACAAAACTGCGAATTGTAGTTACAAGCTGATCGCAAGATATATCAAATTGAATAAATCAACATTCGGAATGTACAAGTCGACAAACATTCAGCAAAACATGTCCTTCAAATTCCAAGCTTAGCAAGCAAATGGTTTAATATAAATATGGCATAATTTATGGGCTAGATATCATTAGAAAATATCATTTAAAAAGTTATTTTCAACTGCTACAAATTCAAATTTTACTAAATTATTTAAGCTATGATAATGACAAATACAAATCAGCATGGAAATCATGTATGCTTCATTCCAAAATCATTCCATTTGGTGCCCATTTTCCACGTGGATATTGCGAAAAGCGTGAAAGAATTCTCACATGCGGTTGGAACATGCCAAAACGCCCTTTCGGATTTGGTTCATTCGAAAACTGATAAAAAGGCAACTTTAACCATGCTATATGTAAGTGCAAGATCGATCAAATTGATCTACTATTTGCATGTTGTAAGATACTCGTTGTGAATCAAAATGCGCTCTGTGACAACACCCAATGTAAATATGTGTGTATTTCGTGTACAAGCGACTTCTAGTTGCCAATGGGATCATATATGTATGTACATATGCATACGTAGAGTTAGGATCGACGATCAACTGGAATTGCATTGTGCCACGTCCGTGTCGACGTTCAGCGCCAGTTATATATGTATGTATCTGCAAAATTTCCCAATAACTTTTGGCCACTTGGTATGCATGGAGGTAGCCAATAAATGAGCAGGCAGCAGCGGGACTCAATTGAGGAGGCAACGACCCAAGTTGGACTATTAAATTGAATGGGCTCACGAAGTGTTTTTTTTTTTGTTTTTTTTGGGGCCCAGCGAGTCACGAACCAACTGCGACTGATCAAGAAGAATTCTCAGTTAATATCAATGTCGAAATGCTATTTATTTTTATTTTTATTTATGTTACAGCGGCAATTTATTGGTTTATTATACAAATATTGCACTGTGTGGTTGGCCGTTTGGCCGAAGATGGACCAAATATATTGTGCAGTGTTGTATAACGTTATTGGCTGATCGAACGTTATCGATAAGCGGCGACTATCGCTTACGCACAACGGCAATTCATGGAAAATACCGTTGTTTTTCTCTTCAATGGAACTCATTGAGAGATTGGGACACAGTAAACCTTAATTGGAAGACAATTTCTTGGCTTTTCTTGGATACATTTTCCCTGTTTCCCCATAGATTCGTGTGCGTATTCATTTCTGGCGGG